TATTTTAAGAAAATCTAATTGACTACAAGGCTACAAAGATTTATAATCCTACAAAGATTTATAATCAAAACATTAATTAAGAAAATAGAATAAAAATTATTAAATTAGATTCAAATGATGTTTTAAATAAATAATAATTTTTAAATCTTGCTCAAACCCTTATTGTCTTATGGCGACATGATTAGGGTTGTTCAAATGACTCTTTGTTCGTGAACAGCTCGTGCTCTGCTCGTTAAGCAAACGAGCCGAACACGAACACACTTTTTGAGCTCGAAATATAAACGAGCCGAACACGAGCTGAGTTTGGCTCGCTTGTTTTCGGCTCGTTTACACCCCTACGTATAAGAAGTTTAGGTGTTATAAATGTAAATATTGAAATTTAGGTGGTAGATAAGTAAATTCATAAAAATTGTGTGATATGCCTGTAAATTTCCCTAATAAAATTATGATTGTCCCCCTCTCTTGATATGCCTGTAAATTTCCTATTTGGTTTATATGTTAGGCCAAGATTGTGTGGACCCATGACCAATTTGAGACCTAATGTCCTAAAAGAGTTCAACATTAAACTCCAAATTTTAGGGCTTCTAGAATTATATCCATAAAAAGTGTGCAGCATGTACGTGAATTTTCCTAATAAATATATGATTTTTTTCATTTAAATAATGTGACCAAAATTAATATACATTTGCACTAAGTCTAAAAATATAGATTAAAGTTTATACTACATATATTTAGAATATATAACTTTATAAAAGGAATTTAATAGTTATTTTATTTAATCAGATTAATAAATTTATTTTTAAGAAATTATTTTAAGTATTGAAATAATGTGATCGACATTAGGGTTTAGCGTGAGTATGAATTTCATGATCATTTATCTTTAGATATATCCTATCTAAAATTTGTTTAAGATATTATGATATTTTTTTGTCATTTTAAATAGCATGTAACGAAGTATTCCAAATACGAGGTAATGAAACGTGTGACAAATCATCTCAAATACGGTGAAATTAATAATGTCATATTGAGATTCAACGATAACTTTCTGCAACAACTGTTTATGGTCATCTTATTAAAAAAAAATGGTGAATTTCTCCAAACTCTTTAGGTTTTCTACATAATGCATACCAAAAAATGATCTATCTAGAGTAAAATAAAAATCTGAGAAAAGAGTTACAATCATCAATCGATGTAACACCAATTATGGTCTCTCTGGCCAATTAACGCTCTTGTAGTGACTCACTGTGGCTTATGCAACCAATTACAAATGTATTTTAGCACTATGACCTACGTGGTTATCTTTTTTCATTGCAAAATATGTGGCCAA